ACGGCTGATTCTCCGTATAGAAGCCGTATTAGTTGGTGAAGAATAATAAGATGGCGAAACAAAAGTGAGAATATGTCTGCTACTCCTCGAAAACCCGTACAGCCCATTCCGCTTGCTACATCTTTAAAACTATTACTGTCTATACTTTACCTGCTACATTTCTAAAACTGCTATAGTGTATTTCACCTGCTACATCTCTAAAACTGCTATAGTGTATTTCACCTGCTACATTTCTAAAACTGCTATAGTGTATTTCACCTGCTACATCTCTAAAACTGCTATAGTGTATTTCACCTGCTACATCTCTAAAACTGCTATAGTGTATTTCACCTGCTACATCTCTAAAACTGCTATAGTGTATTTCACCTGCTACATCTCTAAGATAAGTTCATCAGATGTTGTAATTACATAACGTTTACTCAAATATTTAAATGATAAATACAGCACCATCATTCTGATTTGTGATTTTGCCTCGAAAATAAAGGAGTTAGGCTCACTAAGTTGTAGTGTGTCGAATTGTATTTAAATTAACATGATATAATTCTAAAAATAAAACATCTGGGTTCTACTCATTGTTACACTTATGATAAGAACTGTTCTTCTCGTATGTTTACATTCATTTTATAGCTCATTCTCACTGAGGGCGGAAACAATTGTGAACTAGATTTCGAGATTAATTCCCCATTACTATACCTCCTTCTGGAATAGAGATTAGTCATGTGTTAGTAAACCGCAGCAGCTGAGGAAAGTGGTCCGTGGAGCGGAATGTTTTTCCCTGGAAGTTGAAAATTACATTTCGAGATATAAGAATACAGCGACGCAAAACGTACGACCGACGAGGATAACATGTGAGGATTTTATAACATTATATTTCTTGTTTAACCTTTACTTTCTCGTGGGGGTTAGTTTAGCGGGTCTTATTTCGTAATGATAAAGCTCTAGTTATATCATGCACAGTGTACGCGTTTTCTGTGAAATACTATCTAAAGATTAGTAAATCCAATAAATTTTCATTTCGTCAATTGAACACTTACCATTGTGAATAATATCTCTTGGAACAGAAACAAGACCCGATAAACATAACGCACGCGCAGATTAATGGTCATAGCCCAATTCACTAATATAACGGAACATTAAGTTTAATGCTTTACAAGTATATCGAGCGTTAAGTATTGTACACATGTTTATTACTCACTGAGTGTTTGGCAATTTGACTATTTTGGTCTTGGCGCCTCGGTTGGAGCTTCGTTTACATGAAAAGTGATGATAAGTCCTAGACAATTGTAATCCATGGACAGACAAATCAGGAATGAGCATCATGGTTAATGTTCCAATACTAAATGTCAGTACGAGGCCATCTTCGGATTCGTTACTTTCTTGCTTTTGTTTGGCTATTGAATTTCGCCAAAGCTACTCGAGGGCTATCTGCGTTAGTCATTCCTAATTTAGAAGTGATAGACTAGAAAGTAGGTAGCTATTCAATACCACTTACCGCCAACTCTTGGGCTACTATTTGCCACCGATTGATCATCACATCATTACGTCCCCACGGCTGAAAGGACGATAGTGTTTGGAGATGGTGTTCGAACTATGTTTTAACCACAAGGGTATGTCAGGTACTACTTTCTTACAAAACGTAGGCTAAAGAACCACAGCCTGAAGTCTGTGTTAGCATATCATACTAAATACTGCTTTCTAAGTAGCCTGTTGTGACGCTTAACAATGATCTTTAATAGTGGATCTTGAAGGTATAGTTTCGCACCAATCAGTTCATTTCGAATAATATATATATATATATATTTTTTTCAGATAACAAAAATTCGAATTTTCGTTTTACTTTTGTATTGTTTACTAAATATCGAAACATAGCAGGTGTTGGTCCATAGTATCCAGTTACTATGCACGTTAAATATAAAAACATAACAAGTGTCGACCCATGGTAACCTGTTACTAAGGTCTATTCACTAGTATCGTCACGTTTTATCAACACAATACACTTTATGCTCAATCAATGTGTAACTGTATGTATAGTATTAGGGTACTTATGCACGAAGTGTCATAGGAAGAAAAATTAAATAATCTGCTATAGTCGACCGGCTTGTTTGTTTTACAATTTTTGCATAAATCTGCATTAGGGCTATATGTGATTAGTTTTAAAGTAATAAACTAGAGAGAGAAGAAACAGTCAATCAACACTACCTGTCTCCAACTCTTGAGGAACTTTTGTCTCGCCGAATAGTGTGGTTTGATCGTCACTCTTGTAGCGCACCCAAGGCTCAAAGCGTGAAGCGTGTTTTTTGTTTTCAGCAAGGAGACGCAAACCATGAACCCTCAGATTCACAGTCTGGATTACGCTAATCACTAGGCTACGCCCAACTTATGGTTTTCATAAAACCAACATCTTCTTTAAACACAACAACTTATTACAGGCAAGTAGTACTTTTAATGAAAATAGTTATTGTGTTCGATAAGACCTTGTTTGTTTTTTGAATTTCGCGCAAAGCTACACGAGAACTATCTGCGCTAGCCGTCCCTAATTTAGCAGTGTAAGACCAGAGGGAAGGCAGCTAGTCATCACCACCCACCGCCAACTCTTGGGCTACTCTTTTACCAACGAATAGTGGGATTGACCGTCACATTATAACGCCCCCACGGCTGAAAGGACGAGCATGTTTGGTGGGACGGAGATTCGAACCCGCGACCCTCAGATTGCGACTCGAGTGTCCTAACCACCTGGCCATGCCGGGCCGTCGATAAGACCTTCAACGTTTCGTTTAATTCCTTAAAGTTAAAGGACGAGATATTTTAAATCCGTTTCGAAGATATAAATCAATTATTTTTAATAAGCTCCATATTTTGTAAATTAGTTGAGTCCTCCAGCGGCATAGCGGTATATCTGCGAACTTATAACGCGAGAAACTGGATTTCGATACCCGTGGTGGGCAGAGCACAGATAGCCCATTGTGTAGCTTTGTGCTGAAACTGCAAACAAGTGTTTTAGTTGGACTTCGTAATTTAAAGAAATTCAAAGATCCAATGATTATTACAAATATTTGTCTCTAAATTGTAGTTTAAAGATATAGATGTCGCTCAATCTCTAATCTCCCAACATTATTTGCTCCAAAAAAGAAATACATACTGGTGAAACAAATTTTGACATGTGTTACATTATTTTCAGAATTTCGTACCACTGGTTTAAGTGTCTCCGAAAACTCAGAATAACCAATTATTTATGTATTTTACGTTTGAAAGTTCTAGCAACAACAGCACAAGAAGAACACATTGTCTCATTTTGAAAAGCTTTAATCAAAGTTTTCTAATAGTTCTTAAAAATAAAGTCCAGTCTCAGATCATAGAGATAGTTATGTCAAATTTCTAGTTTGGTGAAACAAGGTGCCATCAATTATAAGTTCGTGTGACTCTTTCAACCCGTTTTTGTTGTCACTCCCTTGATTTCATAAATCGTTTCTTTGTTTTAGATTTGTATTCCTTATTCACAAACATACTTTTAGTATAGAGCCCGGTACGGGCTAGAGCTTAGAGTGGCGTACAGTGTACCGAAAGGTCCAAGGTTCGAGCAGCAATATGTAGCTAAACACTCTCGACGTTTTATTTGTGAAGGTGCTATAATTGTCACAGTTAATCGTGTTATTCATTTAAGAATGGCTGTATAATAAACGGATGGTGCTACTGACTAGTTGTCCCTTCTCTTATTGGCATTTTAAGACTTAGGGATGACTAAGTCTGAATATTAGACTGTGGAGCATTTAAGAAATTGTTCAGGTTAAGAATACTAGAACCAATTCACAGTCTCGATTCTCTTTTGATGAATGCTAATCTCTTTGTTTATAGAATGTATCAAATATAAGTAGCTTAATTTTGTTGAGTTCTAAACATAATAAACATGTTAGTGACTATTTCCCTTTTCTTCTTCACTCAATTCATTAAAATCAGTTTATATTCATAACACACATATTAATAAATTTTAGCGCAATTCATTGTTTAGTTATTCATTAAAGGTGAAGTTGTTGAAAATACAACTGTTTCGACTACTTCGTTTGTGAACACATTGAAAAATAAATATTCTAATTAATAATGCTGACGGATTGAAAAATATTTTAAATTATAAGAAGAAGAGTCGTTTACAATTTTACTATTTAGCCGATGCTAAAAAAGAGCAAAGTACAAATTAATAGTTTGACATTTGAAACATTTGGTTATGATGTGTTTTACTGGGAAGACTTTAGATAAGAATTAGGCATAATTTCTTCTTGTACTAAACACGAAATCAAAGCTTACAAAATCCCCTATGGGAGAAGAGAGCAAAGATAAAGTTTTGAACCCAGAAGGTATTAACTCCTATGACTGTTTGTTTGCTTCTTTAGTTGTAGTTAAGCGCTAATCTACAAAATGGATTATTTGTGCTAAGCCCACCACGTGTATTCGCCGTAAGAGTTAAAGGTATTGTACTGAAACTGGTTATACTTTTACAATGTAAAAATAAAAATAAACATATGATACGCTTTATATTAGAATTATATCTTGTTCATCTACGTGGTAATAAAACTGAATATTATATAAGAGCTGATAAAAAGTATTATGTACGTAAAGTGAAACAGACACATATATGAGGTTTTTGCATTTAATTGTATACACTTGTCAATTGTTTGTAGTTGTCATTATCCATTAGCTCTTTATTTATCCAAATTAAATAATTATTTCATTATTATTTAACTGGTAAAATTTTCCTTTGCCTGTTTGCTTCTAACAAGGAAAGTTTATTATCGTTGTCGAGTGGAAAATATTTTTTTAAGGTAGACAATGTTATGGAACGCGGATTTTCGTATGCTAACATCTAACTCGTAGATTCCAAATCAAGCAAAAATATATAAGAACGTTTAAAAAATAGGCTATAGAGGGCAGCACTAAACAGTTAGCTGGTATTCGGTGCATGCGTAAATATTCGTTATTATTTTTTCCCCTCAGATTTTTATCGCGAGTGACGTTGTGGTGGATGAGATGGTGTGAGAATTAGTTGCCATATAACTCTCTAATTTAGGTGTTATAGATATTTAGTGTTTCATTTTCTCCCTAATCTAACTATTTTACTGATAATTAGTAAAAAATCTCTAAAGGATCATCATGACTACATGCGCTTTTCCAAACCCTTTCAGACGTCTAGCCAACGCGCAAATCGTCACACGTCACATTCATCTGTGCTGATATTGTTGTTTGAAGACTTCAGCTGGATGAGCTCTTCTAACAGCTTAGGTGAGAGACGGGCTCGTGCAGTAACCTGGTGAGAAACGGGCTCGTGCAGTTGAGAGGGTAAAACAGAACTCTGTAGTTGAACGCTTTCGTTTTTACTGGACGCAGGATTAACTTGTTCCGAGATAAACTGTTGCAGCATGACATTACCGAATTTGGTTGTGTTAATTAGAAACTGCATTTTGAACTATTTGCAACTCCAGAGAAAAAGAAAATATCATTGTAAATCTACAATTCTTCTGACATTTCTCTTGCTTCTTTGTAGGTATACTGTTAATGGTAAGTGGCATTATTATCTGTGAAGATATACTGTTTGTGGTAAAGGGCATTATTACTTCCTCTGTATAGATATACTGTTCTGAGTAGATATATTGTCTGTTGTAAGTGATATTGTTGTCGTTGTATGTATAGATATATTGTCTGTGGTAAGCGACATTGTTGCTGTATGTATATATATATTGGCTGTGGTGAGTGACATTGTTACTGTATATATAGATGTATTGTCTGTGGTAAGTAACATTGTTACTGTATATATAGATGTATTGTCTGTGGTAAGTAACATTGTCTCCGTCTGTGTAGATATATTGTCTTTGGCAAGTGACATTGTTGCTGTATGTATAAATATATTGTCTGTTGTAAGTGATATTGTTGTTGTTGTATGTATAGATATATTGTCTGTGGTAAGCGACATTGTTGCTGTATGTACATCAATTTAATGATAGTTGAGTATATTTCTTATTAAGAACCGGAATATTGTATAATACTGATTTTGTTTGTAGATTGAATGTAACTATGTAAGTTGTTAGCTGTAAACGTTCGGTTTAGTTTGTACTATATTTATATTGTAGTATTTATTTTAATTTTTTCATGTTTCCACATAAATATCAGAATTAAAATAACAATACGTTGTGTAGATGGCTTGTTTCGGACAGAACTGAATTGATTACAATACGTTGCCCCTTCTCATGAATAGTGCACAAAAATGACTTTTCTTTCTGAGCCTCGTTCTTACTTCTTCATCTATGCTCATTATAGGGGCATAAATTTCACTTCATAATATTATAAACAATATTTTAAAAAGAACCTGGGAACAAGTAGAAAGATTATGTAAAACAAGTCTGATACACTGTACAACTGAACGTAGAAAGTAGGAGATTGACGGTATCATGTATAACATTGTAACTAGGTAATATTATTTGAAAAAAAAAAACATTTAATTGTGTCATTTGGATGTATTTTTTTTTGGTTTTATATTTTTCAATATCGAAATAATTTTCATGTGATGTTCCATAATTTTCAACGGAAAGCGTTAACAAGACATGGTGGTGATCTTTAATTGTTAAGATGAAATTCCTCACAAGACATCATGTCAGTGGTAAGCTATATATAGCATGAACTAAGCCTAAAAACAAACACATGGTAAAGGGGCAAACACATACAAAGGTAAAAGGTTGAAAGATCTGTATTCGGTCGGAAAAGAGAAGCCCAGGAGTCAGTGGCGGGTGTTTCTGGTTAGCTGCTCTCCTTGTAAGCCATAACTTCAAAATTATAGATGGTAAACGCAGTTAACGCTGGAGTAATTTTATGCGGATATCCGAAAACAAACAATCATAGAACAAGTTCGATTTGGAAAGATGAGTCCGCAAATGAATGAAGTATGAATACAGAACATAAACGTTTTAAAGTCAAACTCATATACGTTCCTATTTCTCTCATTCTAATGTAGTCAAGTGTTTAATTTTTTTCAACTCTCAACAAGTCGACAGAAAAATAATTGAAAATTTAATTTGAGAGGATACACTAAGATTATTATGAATCTGTGTGATGATCATGTTTTTGGAGTATGTTGAAACCAACACGATAAAAAATGAACAGTATTCACATTCTTAGCTCAACAGAATGGATACATTGAAAACAACTTTATTTGAAAATACAGAACATTGTTATTCAAGTAAATAAAGATGATAACTTCTACTCCAAATCAAAAACACATGTTTCTGACCGAAGTACTCGAGGTGTAATATTTTCTTATTATACAATTAATTATCTTGCATTAGCTTTAATTGATGCTAGATATGTGCATTAGTTCTAGCCAGTGTTAATATCCACATTTTATGAACTTCTGATTTATCATGACAAAAACTGAATCAAATATTAACAGAGTTATAGTTCGTTTAATTTTACTGGAAAACCAAGTTGAATCACATGAGAAGAAGTGTAAGGTAATTAAGGTTTATTACTTTCATTAAACGTTTACTTCTGGTTCAGAAAGCTTCTGAATAAAATCTTTATATTTTCACCTTTATAACTGAGAACACCGCAGTTCGATGAGCGCGACATAGGATGTAGTGCGTCTATCTCCCCCTCACACACACACACACGCCATTGATTTAGCGGCAAGTCTGAAGACTTATAACGCTAAACACCAGGTTTCTATACTGGTGATGGGCACAGTACAGATGTACCTTTGTGTAGCTTTGCGCTTAACAGCAACCAAACTATGCTCCAATAATGAAGCGATTTTCACTTAGTGTAACTTACTAACATCACACAACAATAACAGAAGTTTTATTGTTAACCACCGAAGATATCGAAAAGTGGTAAGCCTTTTAGCCTTCTCTGCCTTTCCGAGAATGTATGTCATGGTTATCGTCAGGATTTTATGAAGGGGTTCGTATCTGTTCGTGATACATCTTTACTACATATGTAAAACTACGTGTATTATGACGAGAACTCGATGATGAATAATAAAGTCTGGAGACGGCTTGAATGGGTATTGAAGAAAAACTTTAACATAAGAGCAAATGTACAACGTTTCGACAAGGTTTTGTCATCATCAGGTACCTGTCGAAACGTTGTACATTTGC